TCGGACAAACGGTCTAGGAGGAGTTCGAAAAAGAAGGTTTTTCAAAGAAATAAAGATGGCGAACAGGAAGTTTGTCTGATTATGGAAAACCTGATATCTATGTTTTCAGCATAACCCAACGAATCTATTAAGATCAGTTTCATTGCAATAGGCAAATTTATTCAAAAGTTATTAGCGTTCTCAGAAATTAATTATAACTTTTGACCAACAGGTGGCGCTGTCTCAAAATCTTTTGAGTACCTTCAGGGCATGCTGCTTATGGCACACACTGAGTTTCGTAATGTTAGACCAAAGCATTTATTTAGTATAGCATTGTATTTCACAAAACTGTATTGAAGTCAATGGGAATTTCACGTTTTGTTCTATTATAGCGCCACCAAGAGGCTCAGTCCCACAATTTTTTGTATGTGTCCTCAGAGTGACCCCATACATATGTGTGTCAATTTTGGTGCAAATATCTCAATTTACTTCCGAGTTATAAACATTTATATGAAAAAACACGTAAAAAATGACTGACACATGACTTTGTTTGAATTTTACTACCCCTTACTATCAATATTTTCGCATTTGGGCATTAGCGTATAGTTAACAAGCTATGATTCCGTGTTTCTGGCGGTGGTTTCGTCTCGATCGGAACAGCGGTTTTGAAGATATCGCCAAGTGTTTTTTTCGCGCTAAATCGCTACGCTACACCAACCGTAACACGAAACCCAGCATGTTTAGTATCGTTGGACTCGGCAACGATTCAGGAACTCAAAAAGATGACTCCCGTGAAAATAAGTGTACCACACCCAAAGTTATAAGCGTTTGAAAAAAAAAATTCACCACTAGGTGGCGCTGTTTTGAAACTTCTCAGGCTTCTTCAGGGCATCGTACTGATGACCCATACCGAGTTTCGTAACAATTCGTTCATGCGTTCAAAAAATACAGCATTTTAGCACATAATTCAAAATGGCCGACAGCCAAAATGGCCGATCTGGGAAAATTGGATATCAGTCGACTCGGCATGATGCCCTGAATCTAACGAGATGAAGTTTATGATTTTTGGACAAACCGTTCAGAAGTTACGAGCAAAAATAGCCATTTTTCATATCTCCGGACCACTAGGTGGCGCTGCGCCGAAACGCAGCACGTAGGTTCAGGTCATGCTTGTGATGACACGTACAAAGTTTGGTCTGAATAGGATGAAGCGTTGCGGAGATACAGCCTCACGTCTGTTTTTGCAAGCGTTACGTAAAATTTGTTTGTGCGTTTATCAAAAACCGTTAAGCAAATCATCTTGAATTCCATAACTTTTTGTCAGCACTGCCTGGAGATGATCCGGTGCGATTTTGGTGAAAATCGGACAAACGGTCTAGGACGAGTTCGCAAAAGTACGTTTTTTAGAAAATTCAAAATGGCGGCCATGTTTTTATGACGGAAAATGACGTCATAGGGTGCGATCGAATCGGCATGAGCTCAGGAATAAGAGGAAAAAAGAATTTTGTTGATAGGTCTTACGGTTCAAAAGTTATTAGCATAATAAAAGTAAAACTTTGGACAGTTGGTGGCGCTAGAGGGAATGAGTCAGAGACACCAAAATTGGTGTATTTAAAGTTGGGACTGTCCTCTATCAGAATGTCAAACCAAAACAACTTTCCCGCAAACCGGTCTATGGGCTGCCATAGACGCCCAGTCGGAAGAAGAATAATAATAAATATAGCTGCAAGCAGCCATTACCGGGGCCAAGCGCAAGAAGCGGCAACATATGCCAAAATGGCAAGGAGTGGCAGACCAACTGCAGCAAGGAGCAATTAAGGGCATTTTGAGAGAACTTTGGGCAAATGGCTAAGAAAATCACATAAACATTAACTTATAAGATGATTTAATGGGTTATCACTTTCGAACAATAGGTGGCGCAGTTACGAAATAGATGTGATGTGGTCAGAGTGAGGTGACAATGACACATGCAAAGTTTGGTGTCAAAATATGAAGGCATTGCAGAGATAAAGCCTAAATAGTAATTTTGGCAGCATGCCTCAAATTTGATGCTGTGGTATACGAAAACGGTTTTGTCTATCATCGTGCAATTCATAACTTTTAGTCGGCACGGTCTGGAGATAAATCGATTCAATTTTCGTGAAAATCGGACAAACGGTCTAGGAGGAGTTCGAAAAAGAAGGTTTTTCAAAGAAATAAAGATGGCGAACAGGAAGTTTGTCTGATTATGGAAAACCTGATATCTATGTTTTCAGCATAACCCAACGAATCTATTAAGATCAGTTTCATTGCAATAGGCAAATTTATTCAAAAGTTATTAGCGTTCTCAGAAATTAATTATAACTTTTGACCAACAGGTGGCGCTGTCTCAAAATCTTTTGAGTACCTTCAGGGCATGCTGCTTATGGCACACACTGAGTTTTGTAATATTAAACCAATGCATTTGTTTAGTATAGCATTTTATTTCACAAAACTCTATTGAAGTCAATGGGAATTTCACGTTTTGTTCTATTATAGCGCCACCAAGAGGCTCAGTCCCACAATTTTTTTTATGTGTCCTCAGAGTGACCCCATACATATGTGTGTCAATTTTGGTGCAAATATCTCAATTCACTTCCGAGTAATAAACATTTATATGAAAAAACACGTAAAAAATGACTGACACATGACTTTGTTTGAATTTTACTACCCCTTACTATCAATATTTTCGCATTTGGGCATTAGCATATTGTTAACAAGCTATGATTCCGTGTTTCTGGCGGTGGTTTCGTCTCGATCGGAACAGCGGTTTTGAAGATATCGCCAAGTGTTTTTTTCGCGCTAAATCGCTACGCTACACCAACCGTAACACGAAACCCAGCATGTTTAGTATCGTTGGACTCGGCAACGATTCAGGAACTCAAAAAGATGACTCCCGTGAAAATAAGTGTACCACACCCAAAGTTATAAGCGTTTGAAAAAAAAAAATTCACCACTAGGTGGCGCTGTTTCGAAACTTCTCAGGCTTCTTCAGGGCATCGTACTGATGACCCATACCGAGTTTTGTAACAATTCGTTCATGCGTTCAAAAAATACAGCATTTTAGCACATAATTCAAAATGGCCGACAGCCAAAATGGCCGATCTGGGAAAATTGGATATCAGTCGACTCGGCATGATGCCCTGAATCTAATGAGATGCAGTTTATGATTTTTGGACAAACCGTTCAGAAGTTACGAGCAAAAATAGCCATTTTTCATATCTCCGGACCACTAGGTGGCGCTGCGCCGAAACGCAGCACGTAGCCTCAGGTCATGCTTGTGATGACACTTACCAAGTTTGGTCTGAAAATGAGTAAGCGTTGCGGAGATACAGCCTCACGTCTGTTTTCGCAAGCGTTACGTAAAATTAGTTTGCGCGCTTATCGAAAACGGTTATTCGAATCATCATGAATTCCATAACTTTTTGTCAGCACTGCCTGGAGATGATCCGGTGCGATTTTGGTGAAAATCGGACAAACCGTCTAGGACGAGTTCGCAAAAGTAGGTTATTTGGAAAATTCAAAATGGCGGCCAATTTTTTATGACGGAAAATGACGTCATTAGGTGCGATCGAATCGGCATGAGCTCAGGAACAAGAGGAAAAAAGAATTTTGTTGATAGGCCTTACGGTTCAAAAGTTATTAGCATAATAAAAGTGAAACTTTGGACAGTTGGTGGCGCTAGAGAGAATGAGTTAGAGACACCAAAATTGGTGTATTTAAAGTTGGGACTGTCCTCTATCAGAATGTCAAACCAAAACAACTTTCCCGCAAACCGGTCTATGGGCTGCCATAGACGCCCAGTCGGAAGAAGAATAATAATAATAAGAACCAGCACGGATACAATAGGTGCCTCCGCACCTTCGGTGCTTGGCCCCTAATAATAGGAACCGGAACAGATACAATAGGTGCCTCCGCACCTTCGGTGCTTGGCCCCTAATAATAATAATAAGAACCGGAACAGATACAATAGGTGCCTCCGCACCTTCGGTGCTTGGCCCCTAATTACTATGATAAGTACATAGTATGTACATATTTAATGGGACTGTAAAAGGAAGGGTAAATGCGGTTTCTTTTTCTATTCATCAAAGAATCCTGAAAAAAAAAAAAAAAATTGTACACAAATGTTTTTTGAGCATCAAATCCGCATATTAGAATGATTTCTGAAGGATTGTGTGACTCTGAAGACTGGAGTAATGATGCTGTTTAAATTGTCATAATATTTAACAATATTTTTTTGTTTCGTTTCAATCAAATAAACGCAGGCTTGGTGAGCAGAAGAGACTTCTTTTAAAAACAATAAAAACCTGACCGATCCAAAACTTTTGACTGTACACGACTGATGTATTTTGAGTACCATACAACAAGTTCCTTTGCTGATGTCATGTGTGGGGTCTGTGGCTCAGCTGTGTGTGTAGTGTCCTGCTGCTGCGCCCGTTTAAGCTTTTCACAGCTTTAATCGTTATCAGGGATAAACAGAGGCAACTACAGACAAGGGTCAAACGACAAGCCTAAAACAAGTCACACCATGTCATCAGCACACATACACATGCTGTCTGACAGCTGTCAGTCCAACTGTGACTTCCATCTGTGTGTTCCCATTTCCCCCTGTGGCTTTGCAGACAGGAGAGATTTCATAAAAATAGCAATGTATGAAATTATCTATGACAACAGAAAGGTGACAGACTGATAAACATCATGTTCCAAACATTTCTCTTCTGCTAGCGACTCGCCGTCGACAGATGGGCCTTTGGTAATGTGCTTCTCCTGAGTGGCCATTACTTTGACAAACAGTTAAAGCAGCATTAGAGCTTGACACAAGAATCAATGAAAGGTGGAGTGGGTGTATGTGTGCGTTTACAACTAGACGGTAACAAATCACTGTTTAAGGTTCTGTTCTCTGTTCTGAAGAAAAACCTTTAAGAAAACAACATGTATTCAAGTAGCCAAAAGCCCCCCTCCCCCTCTGCAGTTTGCGGCGGCATCACATGTCCGGCACTTACCCGTGCTGATTCCTGAGTTGGCGATGACTGTGGCATCACTCCATTGGTCAGCGCTGGATACAGAATATGAGCGCTGATGCATCCCGTCCGGCCGACTGTTAAACGACACCAGACTGATGCCACTCGCCATCTGAGACGCTGAGGAACTACTGGTCACAGAGCCTGTGAGAGAGACGCATGATAATTAATACACCATTGTTATAAGATACCCAAGGCACTTATAGAGTTGTTACTCATCAAATGTAAAAATTCAAAAATTTGATAGAAAACTCCAGTTAATGAATTTTTTTTTGTACAATAAGTAGGCATCAGCCGATAATAGATTTTTTTATTTATTTATTCACATTTAGCAATATCGGTTGATATTGGACATTTAATTGTGGATGGTAATTACCTTTACCATCATTTACTGTTCATCTTAAAAAATTAATAATTCTAGACTTTCATTCAACAAAACTAAAATTCAATTATCAATTTTTGTATGTGAATAAAAGCCTAAATTAAATCTGCTAATCATATAAAGTGTCTTCTTGAGAAGACTTGGATTAAACAGCTCAATTTGTTTGGATTACTTTAACAATGTCTTCATTTGTGTTCCCGAAGATGGACGAAAGTCTTGGTTTGAGATGACATGGGTAAATGTGTAAATGATGGGTTACATTTTTGGGGGAATCATCCCCCATTAAATGTAATATTTAGCAAATCTATTTTCTATATCGTACATGTACACTGTACACATTGTTGTGGTAACAAAACAACAGTAAGTCATTTTAATGCCCCCCACATCAAGAGAATACAGATTATCTTACTGCAATCAGAGGTGTAATGTAGAGGCATCCCTAATTAGCTGTTGCCTTCATAATAGTTTTGGTAACGAGTCCGACAATAATAATAAGCATAACTAACACACATGCACCAAACTTCTTTATTTGTTCTCGTCAAGGAGCATAATAGTGACATCAGATTACTTAAAGGTTAATTATCACCACCGTGAGTCATCATTAAACTGTGCGAGAGGTTTGTCTGACTCGCGTGGAAATTAAAGTGGACATCATAGGAAGTCATATCTAATCGCACTAATAAGATTACAGCACAACTGAGCACAAACAAATGTGAGAAAGATATTATATGACATGCAAATACTGACTCAAACACAATCAACCATAAGGCTGCTGGGCTTACCGACAGATGAAATTCAACTCTGACAATTTAAAGGGATAGTTCACCCAAAAACGATTCATTCTGTCATTAATTACTCACCCTCATGTCGTTCCAAACCCTTAAGACTTTCGTTGATCTTCGGAACGCAAATGAAGATCTTTTTGATTAAATCTGAGAGCTTTCGGTCCCTCCATTTTCAGCCTACGCAACTGCAACTTTGACGCATCAAAAAGTTCAGAAAGAGATAGGAAAACGAATCCATATGAATTGAGTGGTTTACTCCAAATTGTTCGAAGAGACTCGATCGCTTTTTATGATAAACAGATTTAATTTGGGCTTTTACTTGGATATAAACACTGATAAACAAAAGCTCAACCAAACCTAAATGACACGTGAGACAACATGACATCATGACTTTTGCGTAAACATACACGGCACTTTCGAGTCAAGTTGCGTGTTATGTCGACGCATTTTGAGCTATCCGCGTGTATGCGTGTATGTCTACGCCATTAACGTCCGCGTCATTCCGCGTGTCTGTACACGCCGTCAAATGTCCGAGCGAAATGAAGCAAAATGTACATCTATGTGACGGGCAGGTTTAGGGACGGGGTTGAGGTAAGTCATAGATTTATATATACAGTAATAACGTTAAGTCAACGGCGTTCATAAATGGAAATACAAATTGGCGTGTCACACACATGAGATCAGTCTGCGTGAGAACTTACCTCTTGCGGAAGCTCAAACGTGCTGCGTAACACAAGAACGAACCTCATTGGTTACACTGCACGTTTGAGCTGCAGTTGCTTAGGCTGTCTATGGAAGGACAGAAACCTCTCAGATTTCATCCAAAAAAAAATTGCGTTTTTACGGGTTTGGAACGTCATGATGGCGAGTAATAATTCTCATATCTGGGTGAACTAACCCTGACAGTTTGTCCAATAGCAGCGAACAAAATGTAAATAACGCTGATGTGATGATACCACTCGTTATTTGCTCTAGCTACAGTCAGTGCACACAAAACAATGGATGTAGTCAAAAAAAGGGTTCTTTTCTGGTTTTTAATATGTTGTTGGAAAAAGGTGTACCCACGGGCCTCCAATGGCCCGTTGCAAACTCGACTGAATGAAATGTCATGACTCAATTTAATCTCCATTGTAGCGGATAAATCAGACGGCAGCACCTTTGGGTAAATGGCAAGATCTGAGCGTACTTCAGGAGAGGCCTGATAAACTACATTTTTACATCCGAGGCCATCTGGAAGAAAAAAAAATATAAACACTATGCATGTATCAGGGTTTACGCACACACACACACACACACAGTGCAAGAACAGCAGTGTGTGAAGATATGCTATAATGGATTTGGTGGATAATGGGAGCTTTCACAAAAGGAGATGTTAAGACCAAAGGAATAAGAGGTGCATGTGATCCAGCCCCACAGTCAAATACTCGACTTACAAAAGCTTTCACTGCCTTAACGCTGTGAAATATCTCTCTTTTCTCCTCTACCGCAGCCTCCCTCCTTCCCTCGCTCCCTCTCATTAGTGTTCATTTCGGACTTGCCTGACTGGAGAACGAGCGCTGATTGCATTAATATTCATGACAATAATTAGTACATGTATTATGGGTCACTGAATATTCATGCTATTAGTTTGGTCCTTCTGGTGCTCTCTGTGTGTGTGTGTATGTGCCTGAGTAGGGTCTTTAACACTCCTTGGGGGGCTTAAGGATTGTTGATCCAATGAGTGTGTATGCGAATAACTAAACAATAACTTAATTGTTTAATTCTCTACTAATGAAGACTGCGCACTTCTGAGGCCCATTATAATGACATTAAGACACATTAATACATTTGTTTTCTAGGAAAACAAGTGTTTCCTTACATTACTTACAATGTAAGGAAATGTATTATATCATTTTTAATATGTATTTTATATATTTTATTATACATCCATCCATTTACCATATGTATGGTCGCTTCTCAGGCTTTAGTCTGAAAAACACCCTGGAAGAATGGCCAGTGTACATTTTATTCTATTATAAAATTATTATATATATATATAAACAAAAATCAAGCATGCTCATATTATCTGGAAGGGTGGGCAATATATATATATATATATATATATATATATATATATATATATACAGTGGTGTGAATAAGTGTTTGCCCCCATGCTAAAGTTGCCTAAAAAGAGGAATAAAAAAAACATCTTTTGGATATTGATCTTAATGCCTTAATTAGAAAAATGAGGAAAACTCCAACCTTTAAGGTTTTACTTCAGGTTTACTTTAACCAAGTTTTACTTGGTTTTACTTCAGTTAGCCTAATAGCTGGTTTGATTTGCATTGAAAGATGCTCTTATGGAAAGTACCCCATGCCAATCTCTAGGTGTGGTGGAAGGTGTGTGATGATGTGGGGATATTTTAATTCCAAAGGCCAAGGGAACTTTATCTGGATGCATATTATCCTGGATCCATGAAATAACTGGATTTTAAAAATAAAAATCTGCCTGACTCTATGGGAATTTAACATAGGGGGGCAATGATTTATGCACCCTGTATTTTAAGGAAAAACATTTATTTATTTATGATACATTATTCATTTACAAAGAAAATTTGTGTCCTTAAAGGTTGGAGTTTCTCATTTTTCTAATTAAGGCATCACGATCAATATCCAAAAGATGATTTTTTATTCCTCTTTTTAGGCAACTTTAGCATGGGGGCAAACACTTATTCACACCACTGTATATATATGAAGAGTTCAGATGCAAAAGCCTCTAAATGCCATTTGAAATTTTCTTCTATAATGATGATTTTTATCAAACTTGTATACAAGTTTGATAAAAATCATCATTAAAGAAGAAAATTTCAAATGGCATTTAGAGGCTTTTGCATCTGAACTCTTCATATATATATATATATATATATATATATATATACTATATTAAATAGAAAAAAAATTATATTATCTCATTTTGTTTTATCCATCCATCCATCCATACACATACATATATCATAAAACTAAGCAAAGCGGAAAGCAAAATAACAACAAAAAGCCAAACAAAAAGCAAAGCAAAGCAAAAAACAAAACAAAAAACAAAAAAAGCATGATCACGTTACCTGGTGCCTGCCCAAGCTGCAGGTTGCTCATGTCCTTGGTCAACCCATTGGTTTTGGGACCGGGGGCCGCACATGTGGAGATGGCCCTGGGGGGCCTCTTCCCTGGAACCTTCACCGTAGTCCGAAGCAGGTCGATCTCCTTCCCATGAACATTCTGCATATAATCCTAAAGGTAAAAATGACAAAAAGATTACTCCAAAAGCATTGGACACTTTGGATGAAAAGTGTCTACTAAATTTATTTTGTCCAGCACAGTTAATCCTTCCCACCCTCTGGAGGTGAAGAAATCAATATCGACATGTTTGAAATTCATGGTGAAGAAATGCACTTTACTTTGGTATGCAGAAAATCAGCTAATGCTTTTTAGAGCACATGTAAAATCTTCCTTTTCCTTTTCCACAGATCACAGCATTGCCATCGCAGCATGTGTTTGGATTCTAACTGCGTTGTCTGGATTTGCGCGCGGCTTTGCTTGCGTTGATGATGAAAGTTACTCAATGCTAATAGGGATGCAATTACCAGCCGCAAGCTGTTGGCCCGCCAATCCTGAAGGGCTCTCCTGTGGCTTGTTAAACCGTGTTGAGAGCTCTTGGCTTTGAATTGCCCTTTTGTTGGCCTCTAGTGAGGGATGGACATGTTATGCTCTTGCCGTAAATTGCTCAGTACAGCACACATACACAGAGAGTCTTCAGGTCTTTGTGTTATTTGATTGGCACTCAGCTGATGTATGGCAGTTCCGGGTGGTACACGCTCCCTCTCAAAGCCTTGCCCCAGCTCATTAAGGCCAAACACTCCACGTAGCTGCTCTATTGAAGAACGTATGTTATTGTGTTTCATGTAGGACATACACTCTGGGGACTGGTCCATATGTAACTCTCGATTTAAAATAAAGGACGGGCAACCCACTTGAGGGATTTCGTTTAGAGTTGGAGTGCTCGAATGTTAACGGTTGGTGAAAAGACCATCATCTGGCTACTTCAGGGGCAGATGTGCATTTAAAATTGATGCTCTGCATAGATTCATCTATCAACCCGTACTGCGCTAAAGCATCGCCTAACGTTTAACAAAACAGTGCAAGTTTAATCAACGCACAATAGTTATGTGCCAAAAGAGAAAAAAAGTTGTGCTTATAATGGATGTGACCATGGATGAGCTATTTGAGATATTTTCCCCCTCACTAATTAGGTTGCATCTATTGCCATCCACTTAATCAGCTGCATTAATGTGATTTCTTTTTCACATAGTTGAGCAATTAAGAGCCCTGATTGAGTTTCATCCTATTAGCCTCCGCAAACACTCTAATTGATGCCTGTGTAGCAGACACCTGCTGATGAGAGGAACCTGTTCACAGTCAAACGGAGGAGGGGGACGGTATATGATGACGCACACTTCCTCTAATTCACCCTGATGAGGATATTAATTAGAGATTTAATACATGCGAGTTTAAAATATGTTTAGTGAATTTGACAAACTATATTTTTTCTTTTCTTTTTTATTTAAAAGTGTGGCCACTTTGCACTCAGCTAAAATCCAGGGGCTCAGTATCTGAGATAATTGAAATAAAGAAGGGGAATACGATTTTTTTTTTTTTTAAAGAAAAGTAACAGGTCTAAAATCTGTATCAGTGCATTAGGAGTACATTTAACCCAGTCTGTTCTTAAGGGTTTGAATGACAGAAGAAAAATATAGTGATGAGAAAAAGGTAGATATAAAAGTAAAAAAGTTGATCTATCCAAAACTGTTTGACACAAATTGTGACAACTTTTAACAATGAACAAACCTAGTTTACATTAAAAGGTTATTTACCAGAAAAAAGTTCATCATATAGCATTCATTTCATTTTTTTTTTAGCTTTCATAATATGAGAAATAACAGACTGTGCTCTTGCGATCTGATAAAATATTATAGACCTAACATGTTATTTTATTATTTTGTCCAGATGCATATTTTTTTTCCTCTCAAAATGATGGAAAGCATCTTTGATGACAAAAAAGAAAACCATCGCAGGGAGCATGAAACCATTAAAATGTATTTAAAAGTTTCTGAAAACATTTTAAGGACATTTGTGTTTACTTTTGTACAATAAACAAGTTTGATACTGCGTCGGGTTGCGACTCGGATCATCCCAGTGTTAAATCTGGGTCCTGAAACACAATCCTTTAGCTGACCAAGGATAATTATTCTATAATATGCGACAGCTTACAAAAATCTTTCTATCTTAAATTGTACAAGAATTGACCTATGACTAAATGCTATCCATGTCTTTTCATCCATCCATTCGATACAGTTTTTTCCATTTGCATCTGTGATTAGTAGAATCACTCTGGGATTGGTTAATGCTAACAATGAGGTCTGATTGGAGTCCAAAAAAAACCCCCAGAGATGAAAACAACCAATAAAAGACGACCATTTCCATTGGTGTGTGGGCAAACAGGTCGTCAAAGCTGGTGATTATGACAAGCCATTACAGCGTTATATTACACATCAACAGCATCAGCCGTGTGCAAACAGAAGAGGCAGTAATTAAGGACGAGACCGTGTCATCAGACACCATGCTTACTGAAGCGGACACGATAATCCGTTAAACGTCAGTGAAAAGGACATAAAAAAAACAGGATGTTGCAGTGATGGGCGAACAGAGAACAATATTAACAGGAAAGGACCAATAGGATGAGGAGAAAAGCAAATACAATACACGTGTACAGGCCGCGTGTGTGTGTGTGTGTGTGGGCACTTACGTGCAGACTGGGATGATACGTGAGGACTCCGTTGTCACAAAGCGTGACATATTTCTTCTTCCACTCTTTGTTCAGTGACTTGCCGCTTCTTTTCAACAACATGCCCTGATAGACAAAAAAACAGACAGAGATGCACAGTTAAACCTTCATTACCGAAAATAAACACTTGTTGAAGTATTCACTTATTTTTTTCATACAATAAAACAGGTTTGTCTGAAAAAATAGTTTATGAGTTGCAAGAGAGGGCTAAAACGGTCTGTGGTTTATAGAAAAAAATCTCCCACTGACACAAAAAAATCCCCACACACTCTGTTATATTGTAAGTGGAAGGACAGTTTATTTGCACACTTTGAGGAGAGCGAGAGCGAGAGAGAGAGAGGAAAAAAAAAAGTGCACCGTGAGCTACATTCCCCTTGGAGTGTTAGCGAGCACATTAGCACTATGACACGAGCACTAACCTTCCTCTCCTACGCACATCAGTGGCGGCTGACTGCCCGTTTTAGGGTCCGGACGCCCACACCTCATTTCAGCCAAATTCATTAGGCAAGAAGGGAATAAAACTGTCCGTTGATTAGCAATTACGCTGCAGCGGCGGCGTGTCACTTCGCTGGACTTGTTAAACATTAACGTGCAGACAGGACGGATAATAATAGATTTCTTGCTCTGGCTGCCACGGAGCGTGCGACATCAGAGCAGACAAGTTTCTGTCACTCTCTGCCTATTTCACTTCTGCTTGTTTTTCTTTCAGTCACTCCACAGCCTGAATTTTCATTAAAAAAAAAACATGCCACGAACCCCAACTGTCACACACCGTTAAACTGGCCTAATTATGTGGTAATTGGTATCCAAACACAGTCTTAAAAAAAAAAAAAAAACAGGATTTACTGAGAGGACTGACAGTAAAGTGTGTATGACAAATTTAGTTTCCAAAGCGGAAAACCTGTAAATAATAAACTTCACTTTGTCAATCTTCAAAGTACATTGAGTATTTTGATTGATCTGATTGATTTTTACTTTTTAGCAGAGAATGAAATAATAATTAATTCTTAAAAGAAATTACAAAAATTATTTATTTTAAAAGATTTTAATCATTTTGCTTTAAAAAAATTCCCTAAATGAACGTTGTTGATCTTATTGTTAACAATTCATCTTTGCGTACTTTAATTTATACATTTTTTTCTTGACCTTGTAATTTTGAATTAGAACGTCAATGACAGCCCAGATAGACAGCCCAGAAACAACATTGATCTGACATTGTTTTGCTCATCGAATTAACGTTGAACCAACGTCAGACGCGTCATTCTTTCAAAACTAACGGAAAATCAACTTGAAATCAACGTTGTTTCAACGTTATGAAAGCAAACCAGCTTTGAAGAATGCCGCGTCTAACGTTGGTTCAACGTTAATTCGATGAGCAAAATCAATGTTGTTTCGATGTCATGAGAGACGTCGTTTCCACGTTGATTCAATGTCAGTTTGCTGTCTGGGAGGCTTCTCTCTGGTGATGTATACCGGACTTCTCTAATCATTTTGTAATCATAAACCCCACCCCTTTATTACAATCAACTGCAAACTCGTAGCCTGGCTAACGCCAGACCACGTATCATTGAGAATGAAATGTGGTCTGGAAACCACATGTTCAATTTCTCGTATTTGAGGCGTGGTTTACGAATGCCCAGAGCTGTATTATTGGGTGCTACGAATGCCTATCAAATGCGCCTGTGCTCCGTCCCCGTTCTGTGATTGGTTCCCTATTTCAGGGGAAAATTTGGTTCATGGTATCCAGACTGCCTAGCATCGCGAATAAAAATCACGCTGCAGCAAGGCAGAATGGGGAAACCCAGGCTAGCAAACTCGGGGATTGGGGAATTTTTATTTTGGGAAACTTTTACTTCACTACATTCTAAAGCATAATGTTGTACTTTTTACAAGGTAATAAAAACATTAATTCATTAACGTTATTTTGAACTGAAGGAATCGTCTCACCAACAACTGACTGATTTAAATGGTCTACTCAGAGGCCTGACTCAAAATGAGTGAAGAATGAAAGATCCTCGAAGCTTGAGTGCGAACTGATGGCATGAAAAGTAAGTTACAAACGCTGAATTTTAGGATTTATTATTGTAAATTAAATCGTATTTAGGTCACGATTGTCAGTGGTTTGTGAACTATATCTGCTGTAAAAGGGTGAGCTGTTTAAGCCCATAGTATGAAATGCCTGAATGTGGACATGTCCATATTTGCGTATCACCCTCTGAAAGCATGTTTAAGTAAAAAAACTAAATACAATGGAGTTTCAAATTATATAAAACTAGAATGAACATACTTGTCAACACACATTGTTTTTTTTTCTCATTTCTATATATTGTTATTTAGACTTGTTTGCACACTTTTCAGCAATTATCAGTAGGTTAATTATCAGTGTATGACAATTTTGGTAAAAAAATAAAACTTTTTTTTAATGTCTGAACAATCTTTCATCTTGACTAATGCTGCTTGCTTGAAAATACACAATCATTCTTAAATGTCAGACTGAGCTGTAACCTATTTTATCTGTATCTTTTTGTCTAGTACATACTTTTGCTTAAGTAAAATTGAAAACCAGTACTTAATATTGGTACCCAGTACTGGAGAGTGATCTGTAACTTTTACTCAAGTACTTGATGTGTGAACTTCATCCACCACTGGTTGTGTCCCAAATGACGCACTATACTATGCACTCATATATGCACTATGTACTCAACCACGTCGTGTATGCATTTTATAATGTCATTTGTCATCCAGCATTGGAGTCTGATGCCCCTCCCCCTTCACTACATAAGGAAAGCTGTGACAGTAAATCAAGTGCATCACACGGTTATCTAAAGTGTTTTTTCTTTCTCTTTTTGGAATTTTCAATGTGAACACACACTATTTATACTACAAAATGGCACAGAATAGTGCACACGTATTTAAATTGGGACGCACCTTAAGCATTCTATTAAGAATATATAATCTTGACACTGCAATTGGCAAAAGAGTAACATTTGGTTTGGCACCTTAGTTACACTTGACACTGACTAGAAATAGAAAATTCCTAAATAGAAGCATAAATTAAAAACAAAAAAACTAACTTAAGGCATTATAATGATTGTAAAGCAGCAGTGCATAAAATGTTTATTTTAAATTTTATGTTGCGGAACTGTTCTGAGATCAGCCTGGCCTTGGGTGACACATGTACGTTTGTTGTAGGATCATCTGGATTTAAGGTAATGAGGCCAGTGTCTGTTCTGAGATCAGTCGGACCCTGGGTGATGGAGCTATACATGTGGGAGGATGTTCCCTTAGGTCAGTCCACATCTCTGTACACCCTAAACCCAGTGTTCAACTTAAGACAAGAGAACAGCGCTTCCTGGGTACAATAAAAACAGGCTCTCCTGCTGAGTGGTAAACACAAGTTGACGAGTTATAACAAGGGTGCTGCCGCTAGCGGACCATCTGTCACATAGGGTGAATATCCATTACTTCATTAACTAAGTCTGAGGTGTGTGTGTGTGTGCGTGTGCGTGTGTGTGTGAGGCTTAGGGAATAAAAGAGGGGAAAAGAGGGAGAGAAAGAAAGGAAGGGACAGATTGAGAGAGAAACAAAATGATCTTTTAATGACGCTGTATGTGTGGTCTCTCCAGGCATGTTGTGTTGAGCAGGTAGCCTGGTTCGGATCTAGGTGTATTAATTTTGCACATCCATCGGGAAAGGTGACAGCCGATCATTCAGCAGGAGAGGCTAATTGAACACCACGTCGCGTTTCTGATGGGAGTAGTCGTTCATTATTTAAGGCTCGGGACGGTGACACCCTGCTTTGCACCTATTTTACCCTCCCCTGGTTGACAACCTGCAAGGTCTTGTAATGTTGCAAAACGGGGGGCCAAAAAAATAAATCTCACGCAGGCATTTCCTACTTACTACAAGCCAGCAACTGCAGCAACTGTCAACTCAAATTCGTTGTTAAAATATAAACAACTAAATGGTGGCTAAAAAAAAAAAAAAAAAAAAAAAAAAAAAATATCTTTGTGAAAAAATATATTCTAACATACATTAAATAATGAAGACAGTTTAAGAAAAAAATATACTGAATATGTAATACAGTCCATGTATTTAGCAAGAATTTGAATTTTGTAACAAAATAATAATAAAAAAAATCTACAAATAATGTGTAGAGAAGTTTTCTCCACACATTAACTCAAAACAGTATAGACCATTTTACAAGATGTAAACAACACTGGTCCAGAAACACTTCCTGTTTCACTTTGTAACTTTTTCGATTCAGTTTTATAAGTTCTGTTGGTTGTATTTTATCCCAACTTTTATGTAGTGTTAAAAAACTGAAACAGGAAGTGCTTCTGGACCAGTGTTGGTTACATCTCGCAAACTGGTCTATAGACTTAAAGATCTATTCATCAAACTGAAGATCAGAAAACGAATTAGCTCGAATATTTTCAAAGACAAAATATGGATGGATGGGTGGATGGATGGATGGAATTAGACAGACAGATAGATACATACATAGATAAGTTGGTGGTCATAGATCTTCAAAAAGAAATCTTAAATAGTACATCAGTAAGTGGTCTTTGTCAATGCAAAGTCAGAAAATGTATATTCCGATTCTATTCCCGGAAGGAAAACAACCGGAACAGGGTGAGCGTCCATTACAAATAAACCTCACAAACAAACAAAAGCCTCTAATCTGTGCACTCTTCCATTAAAAGAAGCCGATGTGCTCTTATCAGTGTGTTATCCTCTTCTTTCAGCTCTTCTCATTTCTCCCATTCTTTGCTAACAAAAGGAGAGGTTAACCAGGAGATGAATGCGGACAGTGGCATGGGTGTGGACAGAGTCAGTATGGTGGACAGGATCCGTCTCCTACGAGTCCGCTTCGGACAGCCGCTTAACAAAAGGCTTGGGTGTTTGCCCACACTGGCCTTATTGTTCTTGGGCGCTCCAGAGAGAAGGGCGCTAAATTAAGTGTGTCATCCCAACACTGGCTCGCCTCCGGCCCTGTCACTGTGACTGAATGTGTACGCGCGTGTGTGTGTGAGGGAAGTGGGGCCACGTGAGTGACACGACGT